TGTGTACAGACGAGACATCTGGTAGAGCCGCAAGGGCTCTGTGTGTATGAATCTATAAGTGAGGTGTTGCAAGTGACCTCAAGATGCTCAGATGTCCCACTTGAGTAACAAAAGAGGGAGTCGCCACAGATTCATTCAGAAAAAGCAAAAGCTCTCATTTCAACCTCCACCCTGATGTCTGGACTTCCACAATTCTATTCTTTCTGTATTATTCCAGCTACGGTATATTTGGGGTTGTCTTTGTGCCTGCCTATAATTGGCTCTGCCCTCTTTTCAAAAACAAAAGCCACAGATGTCTCAAACTCAGAGTCCTTGATTTAGACTTGAGTATATGTGGGTCACCAATAACACATATCAAAGACATAGTTCTAAAATTAGGGATGTCCCCAACAGGTTTTTTTGCCCTCGAGTCCGAGTCATTTGATTTTGAGTATCTACCGATACCGAGTCCCGATCCGATACTTATATAATACATAAAAAAAGAATAAAGAAGAGAGAAAAAACAGATCCAGGATGTTCCTTATTTTTTATTTAATTCACCTTATTTTAACATTCAACAACTCTGTTAACAAACAGAGCACTTCTGTGAGGTAGCTTGAACAATCAAGTAATAAATAACATAAAATCTTCACTTTTGGACTTTAGTGCAACAGTAAATATAGAAAAAGTCTAATATAAAAACAAATAGCACCTCAACTTAATATACCCGGCAGGCATGTAAACAAAAAATAAACATGTTTTAAAAGTGTATAAAAAAAATAATGAGAATATATATATATACATTAGGGGTGTAACAGTTCACAAAATTTGCGGTTCGATACGATACAGCAAAAAGAAAGAAATGCCAGAGAAATTTCCTATTTATTAAAAGAAAAACTATTTTTAAATAAGTTTGAGTTTTCCTACATCTTGAAACTTTCAGGTTTATAAATGGGGGTAATCTTTGAATGATAAACAAATAATGTTTTGGTAATCACATTAAAAATAACATTTAAATATATATTTATATAATATTTGAGTTTTGAAGTGCAACATTAAATCCATGTTCATTCACAGCACGTTTCTCCTGGTTCCCACGTTAGCGCTGTTTGATCTAATAGAGATCTACGGTTAATAACGGAGCAATTTGAATGTTTCTCACTAGATCTCGCAGCAATGTTATTACTTCAGTGGCGAATTCAAAAGTTTTCTTCACTGGATCTCTTAGCACAGTGTCGCTTGATCTCGCGCTGCACAGATGTTGCTGGTCCGAACTGATAAATGGTCCGTTAAGCACAATATAATGAGTAGCGCAGTTTCGTTCCGCTTTCATTACGTTTGCCATTTGATGTTAAAATATAAATATAAAATAAATGCAGAGCCCACACCACAACTATAACAGCACAGAAAAACAATGGGAATAGGGAATCACTTTCAGAACATTTTTTTCCAGCTGATGAACGATAAAAATCATTGAAACAGCAAATCAGAATTCATTCTGCAAGCATTTAAAGCATTAGATGACAAAACTGCAGCACATGCTTAGAAAAAACAGAACAATTAATAAAATGGTGGACGCTAATTTAAATAAACACAAGGTGAGAGCAATAACGTGACGTGTCGCCCTATGCAGTATGTGTTGAAATAGTTTAGAAATGGGATTTAGAATATAAGCCTGTGTTCTTGTATGCATAAGCATTTCTCACTGCTGTGTAAATTCTGAGAGCATCCAAGCTGGTTGAGTTAGACAGTGGTGGCAATTACTGGAGATCAACACGCCTCCGAGATGGGAGCTGTACTGGTGAAAAGGCAGAATCTGGCTCCACACACACACAGTTAAATTTTCGATACAAGCCACCCACTAATATTACATGGCATGCAGACAAATGCCGCCAGACTGATTTTAAAGTAACAACAGGTCGTTTTTTGCTCTCGGGCTCCCCCTACAGTTGGGAAACAGTATTGTCCTCTACTACTGTCGTAAACTGTCATCCTACATGCACGTGCATTTGTTGACAACCATGATAGCCCTGAACACTGTAGGAGGAGGTCACATGCAGGTGTTCTCGCGTGTGTGAAATGTCTTCATCCCAGGTACAGTGGCATATATTTCAGCATGTCATATGAATATAATTTCATGTGTTTTATTTTTTTTATAACGACAAATGATCGCGTTTACAAGCCAGCGTCATTATAGTAGCCTAGTCTATTGGTTACCGTTTTACTGAATCTATATGATACTTCAATGCAATGTTTGAGTGGTTGATAATAACCATATATCGTCAATATTATAATATCAAGCTACCATAAATGAATCTGCAAATTTTACAAATCGATTTGCATTATAGCTTGAGGCAAGACAAATAAACAAATATCACAGACATGTTAGGTATCCTAAAATATGATTTTATTAATAATCTTCCTCCTTTCTTTGTACATGTTGAGTAGACTACACTTTTTAGGTCAAACATTTGCTATTGGCATTTCATCGATTGCAAAGTTCAAATCAGAACGAGAATACTATCGCGATAGCTAACCATCAAAAACTAGAATATCGTCTACTAGCTACCAGATTGATAATTCGCTACTACTCTAGCGAATTAGAGAGGTTAGAGAGAGGCATTCTTTTTTCGATGGGGGGTTCGATGCTCCCTGCACACGCAAGGTCTCTCGCTCGCTTTCTCTCTCTGGCGTCCGCGCGCGTTGCAGCACAGTCTCTGTCTCGCGTGCGCGCTCGCTCTAGATTCCGGGAGATTTGAACTAATTTGCGGTATAACTTGTCGATCACGAGTGGCTCAACAGGTAGAGATCTATAGATAAACTCATCTTTCAGGCATTTGACCGACCGGGTTGACAATTTAGCGTGAGAAACCGGGTGTGTGGCGTGTGAGCGTGTGAAACCAATCAAAAGCGGGTGTCTCACGGCCAATGCGTGAGAGTTGGCAGCTCTGCAATGTTGATCCTCGTTCTGCCTTTAACGCGATCACTTTCTCTTTTTCTCTTTTTGCTTTGCTCCGATAAAACCTTTGCTTTCTTGTTTTTCTGTGCTGCTTCGGCCATGACTATAACATTTGGCTCGCAAGTCCGATTTTAAGGAAGTGGGGGTGGTGGTGGAAGTGACGTATATGCCGTAAAGCAGTCGAATTTTGTAGTTCTCTTTGTTCGCCGGTTACTACCCGAAACCCGAAGTTTAAAAGTACGATTAAAAACACTACAGACCCCGTCAGGCTATGGCAGACGTGTCATTCAACCTATTGTAAGTCGATGTACCATCACAAGAGACTTGGAAATATATTATGAAGGCTGAAAAGTTACCTGTTGTTACTTTAAATCGACTTTCCAGGATGCACAAAACACATTTTAGGACAAAAATAACCTTCTTCCACTGCTCCAAGGTCCAGTTCTGATCCTGATGCCCATTTTAGGCGCTTATATAGTGGACAGGGGTCATCATAGGCAGTCTGATTGGTCTGCGGCTATGCAGCAGAATGCGACGCACTGTGTGTTGTCACTGTTGTGACACATTCCTCCCATAACCATCGTTAAAATGTTGTGTGACTTGTGCCACAGTAGACCTTCTGTTGGCTCGGACCAGAAGGGACAGGCTTTTTAGCCCTCACGCATCGATGAGCCTTGGGTGCCCAACACCCTGTCGCCGGTTCGTGGTTTGTCCCAATGTTCAATTCTAAATTCTCACCACTGCTGACCGGGAGCAACCCATAAGCTTTGCCATTTCAGAGATACTCTGACCCAGTTGCCTTGCCATTACAATTTGGCCCTTGTCAAAGAGATCAATGATATTCACTTTACCTGTGACTGGTCAAAATGCTCTGGCTCATCAGTGTATAATCATGTTAAATTTTTAAGCCAATTTTCAATGAAAATTTTGAATTCTGAGATTGCAGAAAATGCCAGAAAAATGTCTGACGTTTGGATTCAAACTTCTCTGAGAAACCAGATGTTTAAATGTGGTTTAAATTAAGTGACACATATTTCAAGTCCCGTTGGTGCTAGGAGTTCCCTTGCCAATCAGTGTAAAGATAATTAAGAAGGCTTTCTCTAAAAGAGAACAAGTCACTTATTATTGCTATCACCAACCACAGATAACTTTAATACAGCAGTTAAATACTGCAATACGCTTTCTCTAATTTGTTTCTAAAAAATAAAATAAAAAACAGATGGACATTATAGAAGAAATAGACAGTCAAATGTATGTTAAGGGTTGCAGATAAAGACAATATAAATTTAATTTACAGTGCATTTAAGTTTTGTAATATGGCACATTTCCAATTGTAACTGAAGATTTACAATCACACTTGTTAACCAAAACTTAGAATAAAATGTTTTCATTAACTTATAGAAAGCTGAAATAAAATATAACTATTCCATTAAACTTAAATACTTTTTTTTTATTAAATGTTGCCTTGGCAACTAACTGAAATAAAATAAAAATATAATAAAAATAATTTATAAAAATAAAATAAAGCTAAATAGAAGTATATAAACTAATAATTAAAAATAAATAAAATAAATGACAAAAGCTTAAGCTAAATTTAAAACAAAAACCGACGATATAAAAATAAAAAATAAAAATATTTATAAAATACTAAAATAGTATATAAATAATACTAAAAAGCTAATTCAACATCTTAATAAATACTATAATAGCATATAAATAACTCTGGTTCTCATAATTATTTATTTTATTTTAGATCCAGTAGTGCAAACAATAAGTATGTACTGTAAAGTGATAAACACTCAAGGACTCAGAAAATGTCCACGCATGTTGATTCTGATAATGGACTGCAGTCTTATGAAAAACTCATCTCAAAACCTCTCACTGTTTTTAATCAATAAAGCACTTATCAACAGTCTATGGCGTCCCTCCAAGTGCAAATAAATCATTCGAAGGGAAAAACCTCTCTGCCTGCATTACTCATGTGTAGCTGTGGTAAAAACTGCCATATGACAATCTGCATCTGTCAGAAAATTGAACAGAGTGTGGGAAGACTGTTTCTCACCTCTGTATTGTTGGTTCCTACAGCAGGCTCCTCCACGGTCAGCTCCATGTGGCTCTTCCCTCTCAGCTGGGGACAAAAACACACACACTTTCAGAAGTCATCTACTTCTACATCTCTAATGTCTAGTCGACTCCAGAAGTATTTCACTTTAAGCATATGAGTAATGTTTTTGGAACATTAATGTAACATTTGATATTGATCTTATTTATATTCACTTCAATATTGATATTCAAACATTCCCACACAAGCAAGTGAGCTGTTGATATTCAAGAGCATGGAGGATATTCAGATAAGCAGCAGGATTTCAAGGGAGATATTGCTTTTTTACATTATACATTTATTTAAAGAGCATTTTATCTGAAGTCACAGAATAAAGTTAAAATTCTGCTTGGGAATTCTGTCAACAGATAATGTATAATGTATAAGGCTGAAGAACGAGAGAAGGCCAGACGCATCAGTCTGAAAATTCACAAACACAACCCTTATATAACATCACACTCACACTCACATACGTATGCGAGCCAAATAAATGATTAACATCCTGAAGACCATGATATGTGACTGTGAGCCTTTCTATTTTAAATTCAGTTCAAAATACTTTAATCTAAATACTATACTAAAAACAGACACTCAGAATGTCCATATTTGAAGAAAGTTGTTTTAAAACGAGAAATAATATTTTTTTTTTTAATAAAATATTTTTTTGTTTTTGAAAAAAGTCTCATGCTCACCAAGGTTACATTTATTTGATCAAAATACAGTAAAAACTTTAACATTGTGAAATATTATTACAATTTAAAAATAGCTGTTCTCTATTTTAATATATTTTAAAATTAAGTAATTTATTGCTGTGATGGCAAAGCTGAATTTTCATCATAATTACGCCAGTCTTCCCTGTCACATGATCCTTCCGAAATCATTTGAATATGCTGATATATTAAGAAATATTTCTTATTATTATTAGTGTTAAAAAACAATTGAGCTGCTTAATATTTTAGTGGAAACTGATACATTTATTTCAGGATTGTTTGATGAACAAAGTTTAAAAGAACAGTATTTATTTGAAATAGAAATATTTTGTCTGATTATAAATGTCTTTTTTAAATAAATAAAGACGACAATTAATGCATCCTTGCGGAATATAGGATTAATTTCCTCAAGAAAAGACACACAATGACGACTGATATAGCCAATATACGTTATTGTTAACTGTAGTATGTAAATATTTTTGTATGTTAAAGTTTAAAGGCTCAGTGAAGATATCTACAGATTTAAAGATGCTGTTGATGTTAAGATGATGTCCTTCTGTCCTATAAGACCATGAGACACTGGGATCAAGACACACAGTTCACACAAAGACAGCTTCCCCCTAGTGGCTGTATGCAACAACAAAAACATCAGTCTAAATTTACACTGGTACAATAATACACACATCTTATCAACCTGGTAAAATACAAAACAATAAATAAAAACACTTATCAATACATTAAAATCATGCATATTTAAAAACTGAAATGAAGTTTTGCATTTAACTATGCAGTTGAAAATACAAGAAGCTTTAATCCTTCTGCTATGCATTTTTAAATGAAATCCGCTGAGCAGTATAATTCAGTCCAGTATAATCTCACTTCCTCAGAAAATTAGATTCATTAATCACACAAGTCTCTAGTATACTTGTAACATTTTATCAGTAGGTGTTTGATTGACACAATTGATGCTTTTGTGAGCGCTGATGCGTCAGCAGACCTAAGCAGTGCTGCGGAATTCACCAGCATCTGAGAAGACAAAGCCTGCATACAGCTTTGGAGCCATTTGTATTCTTCACATAGCCTATCTACAACTTCATTTATTGCCTTTAATTATTCTGTCACAAGCCTTTCCACTCAACCTCATCACGGCACATGACAGACAAGGCCTCAAACACACTCAAAGGGTGCTTTTCCAGCCATTTCGGGAGAAAATTTGATTTTCTCAATTTTTCTCAATTTCTTTAAGGTTTATATTTTGCCCAAGAGCAGAAACAGGATTTAATGGAAAGCAGAATTTTAATCGCCAGAATCATATATATGTCTTCTGCAGTTTCAGAAGATATCTCAAAAATGTCTCGATTTGTCAAGATGCAAAAATCCACAAAAAATAAGAGCTTTCAATATGAACTTAAACATTTCTCTTCAAATACTTCCAAGAACAAATTTAAAGGGGTCATGACATGGATTGTTTTATTAGACTCAAGCACATGGAGTGTGTCAGAAAGTGAACGGGCATCTGTATATTTTTATCATAATGGGTTTTATCTGCTTTTGACAACACAACGGGACACTCGTATCCGTTGTAGGCAAGTGTCAGCAGTTAAGCAACTGAATGCCAGTGGGCAGGGCCTATGGTGCAATGATGCAATTCCAAGAACAAAGGATGAGATGTTACTATCCTTTGTGCAAGCACTTCCAAGAGTTCATGAAACACTGAGCCTGATGAAATTTGGGGAACCCATCGTGAAATTTGGGGAGCGCATCGTCAGTCGTGTACCTTTGGTTCCTAGGGTGTTTCGGCCTTTCACACTATACACCCACCCCACAGGCGGCCAGCGACAGGGTGATCAATCCTACGCTTGCGTCCCATTCCCATTTAGTCATAGGAGTTGCCTTGTTGTTGATAGCCAACATCCCATGGGACTATGCATGGCAGGGGCGTCCTCCTCCCTGAGTCAAGCATTGTTGACCGCATACCTCCTGGCCCTCTCATTTCGGGGCCCAGCTGGGGTCTTTCCTCTTCATCCAGAGCCACTGACTGCTACCTTCTGCCGCCTCCGATACAGCTCTAATTGCCGAACGCTGGCTCTGCCCCTTAATTCCCAGGTCTTTAAGCAGTCTGGTTGTAGATGTTGCCACAAAACCTCTGCAGCCCACCTCCACTGGTCAGACTTCTGTGTTCCAACCATGATACCGTGCTTCTGTAGCTAGATCGCCATAGCGCAGATGTTTTCGCTCATAAGCCTCACCTACTGAGTCCTCCCAGGGTACTGTGAGCTCAATAATGAAGACCTTCTTGAGTGAACTGGACCAGAGCACCATGTCAGGTCTTAGGGTGGTGGTTACGATCTCCGGAGGAAACACAAGTTGCCGACCAATGTCAGCTAGCATTTTCCAGTCGCGGGCCAGGCGCAGCTGGTCTCGCTCTGATGGTGTAGAGCTGCTCTTTGGTGGTTTTTCCCCTTCACAGACAAAAGGGGTGTGATGCTGCTGGGGGTGGTAGGGAGTTGGTCGCGGCTCGCTTGTCCTCCAGGGCGGACGCAAGGTTTTTTAGGACTTGGTTGTGACGCCAAGTGTAGCGTCCTTGGGTGAGGCTTGTTTTACACCCTGTGAGAATATGCCTGAGGTTGGCTGGCATGGAACAGAGGGCACAGTCTGGATCTTCACCATACCATTGGTGAAGATTAACTGGTGTTGGAAGGGCGTCATACGTTGTTCTGATGGAAAAGCTCAACCGCCTCGCTTCCATGGCCCACAGATCCTTCCAGCTAATCTTCCTCTTCTCCACACTGTCCCATCGAGTCCACTGTCCCTGTTTGGCAAGAGAGACTGCCTTGGCCCACCTTGCAGCCTCCTCCTGATGGCGTACCTCCTGCACAACCATCTGCCGCCGCTCTGTTGCAGTGGCCTTACTCCAAACAGCACGGCTAGTTAACCCAAGGCCTCCTCTCCCTTGCTGAACATGACCCACAATATCAGCATGTCTGAGGGCTGCTGTTGCCTCCTGGACTGCTAGGGGCCACAACACCCGGGGTAGGAGACCAAACTGCAGACACCAGGCCTTTGACTCTCCAGGTAGCTGGGTGTTGTCGATGGACTGTAGGCTACTACTGATGTCTTTGCGCAGCTGTTGCACCTGGTCTTTGTCCTTCAGGTTTGCATCATACCACCTTCCAAGGTTTTTTACTGGCTGCTCAGACACTGTTGGGATTTGGTCATCTCCGATGAAGAATTTCAGGTCAGAGAGTACTCCCTTCACAATCGAGATGCTGCGTGATTCAGATGGTTTAATCTTCATACGGGCCCAGCTGATGTTCTCCTCGAGTTTTCTGAGCAGTCTCATGGTGTATGGAACAGTGGTGGAATGTCGTCCATGTAGGCTCTAAGTGGAGGGAGACGGAAGCCAGAGTCGACTCGCTGTCCACCAGCAACCCATTTTGAGGATCTGATGATAACCTCCATTGCCATTATGAATGCTAACAGAGAAATTGTACATCCCGCCATTATACCTACATTCAGGGTGTACTCACACTAGGCACGGTTGCCATGAACCGGGCCCGAGTACGATTGTCCCCCCTCCCCACTCCCCCTCTGGCCTGCACTCACATAGGGTTTCAGCATTCGTGCCGGAGCACGCTTACGTCATTATGGTGCGTGCGACGGTTTCGGGATAAACAAGAAGAGCGGCGCTCTCTGAACACAATGGAGTCCATCGCTCTGTTTTCTTTGTGGATAATTTTGTGTCGTTTGGTCCACGGTGGTCCACAGCCCTCTCACAGCCTGTTGTTAAACAGATGCGTCGCCTTAGTGGCGCGAAAATTTTCACGTAATCGTGCTGCTCGTATGAGGAGGTTTGCAAGGTACCAGCTGAAGTGCAGCAAGGACTTTGCAGCTTTGATTACGGACTGTGTTGGTTTTGGAGCGTCGCAAAACCATGACGTCACGCGTCCTGTTCCGTGCTCCAGCACGGTTAGCGCTCACACTGCATGCGAACCGCGCCCGAGTCCAACTGAACCGTGCTCTGGCCCACCTCTTCCAAGCGGGCCAGGGCCGGCTAATCGAGCCGCGCCCGGGCACGGTTCGGAGCACTCACACTAGTCAAACGAACCGCGCTTTGGTGGTCAAACGCACTCGGGCACGGTTCAAACTGGCTAGTGTGAGTACACCCTCAGGCATTGCCATGAGGTGGTGAACTCTGAGGTGGTGAAACAGAACTGCAGATCCTGGAAATACGCCTTCACCAGGGTTGTGATGGTGTCCGGTATGTGGAAAAATCTGAAGGTAGACCACAGGAGTTCATGGGGCACAGAACCAAAT